AAACTGCACGAATATACATTGTTGATATAAGTCATTCAAAATATATATTCGTGCAGTTTACACAATGTACAATTATGTTCGCATAGTTCAAAAAACTGTTCGCGTAGCTTTTTTAATGCACGAACATATTTTGAATTACACAAACATTTTTTTACAATGTTTAAACAGTTTTTAAAATGGCACGTATTTACATAGAACAAGAGTGATAAAAAACATATACATTGTTTGTCCACAAACTACATCACATGTCGCAGTTGCCTGGTGGTTAGCTTATGCGCGAGTGAATCACAATGTCATAGGTTCGAACCCGCCGGTTGCACAGGTTATTAGATAGATTTCTTCATTAAATTTTTTCAGTCTGCGTTGATAAGATGTACAAGGTTGCCGTGCTAATTAATCATTAGGTATTGTTGTTGTGGTGGTTGTCCAAGCGAGCCACCCAGTAATACGTCGTGGGATCGAAATCCCTCCACTGTTTTTTTATTTGAGGGGCTTCCTATGTAAATAAAAGAAGAGCTGAGGGCTTTTCTACAAAAAACTATCATACAAGAACATTTACAGCGGCTTACAGCGGGCCCATGTCATGCTGGCAACTATGAATACGCATACATACGGTGAGAGTGACTGTATTTGAACGACCTTGCAAGTTTAGTGACCACAAACACGTATTTTGCAACTTTGTGCACCAAAGTGACTGCCATGTGCAAGTTCTAAGACCTTTGATGTATTTACCTCTTAGATATCTAACGATTTCTCCTTATGTTGCTTCGATGATGTGAGTGCGCCAAATCTTTGCCTTGGTTGATTGTGACCTTTGTCAATTCCAAGTTGCTCATTGGACAATGGTGCTTCAAAGAATTTTATGCCAATAATTTGTGCTCAGTGTTGACACTGGCCTCTCCTTTTTTTTCATTTGCAACTGATTCACCTTGTGTTCTTCGTAAATATCGTTGCAGTCTGCCTAATGTTTCTAGAATAATCAACAACCAATGAAGTATATTTACATCCTAATGTTACTTCTCCATGTTGTTGCAGTTTTGTTTCTTAATGGATGCATTCTTCAATCATCTTAACTTGTTAGTCATCAGTTCAAGTTGAGCCGAGCTGAGTCACTAGCTACTCGTTTAGCTCGCAAATTACCGAGTTAAAATTCAGCCCTACTTGAGGTATTGGACTGCATCTCAGTATTAATCGCAATCCTCAAGTATCAATCATTTTTGTGTTGTCTAGGCTTCCACCTGTGTGAAAGTGCCACCACGCCATCATCGAAGCTGCTTGAGATATGGACGTTTTTGTAATTATTTTGTCAGCCTTCTAAATGATGCTTTTCTCGTTAGGTTTCAACAATGAAGATTGTATCTGACAATGATATGTGAATGCCAAATCATTGCTTTGGTTGTTTGTGAGACGTGTTGCCAATTCCAAGTTGCTCATTGGATAATTGGGTTTCAAAAAATTTAGGCTAGGAATTTGTAGTCATTGTTGACGTCAGCTTCCCTCTTTCTGTTAGTTTTGCAGCTGATCTTTATCACTAAATTGTACAAGTTCTTATACTATTAACCACCATTTATTTGCCTACTTGCATGGATAGCTAGGCAATGAAAGCTTCCCACCTATATTTTTCTTCTCACATTATCGCTGATAACAAGTAATGATAAGACTGAGAGAGATCAACCAAATGTGGTTACTATAAGAGTTGAGCTGCCAGTCCGCATCAGCTAGGTAATACACGCTGGCTGTTTGGATCACATATCAACCGCATATGCAAGTAAATATGACACAATAATCTTAACAAATTTGACTGTCAGTGACCAGCATCTAAGCAAAGCAGAACATAAGTTACACCACCAAGTGAAACATCAGACGAAATAGGCTCATTGTAAGTGATGTTACCTCTATTAGCACACCTTTTTTTTATAACCGAAAGGGAGTTTTTTTCTTCCTATGATCCACGAGTTGCAGTTTTGGAAAGGAGGTTCACTTGTTCGTTAGGCTGTGAGTGTAGTGCTCATGTGGCCATAATAGGAGGCTTCCAATTAGAGTGGCCCAACCTGGGTCGCTCTAGGGGAAGGGAGTGTGCGGCCCTCTCTTCTCCCCTCTTCGCTGTCGCCAGAGGACGGCGGCGTTAGGGCAGCCTTCTCATGTGAGGAGCGCTTCCGATCATATGCCTGCGATCTACTCCCCCCGTTCCTAAATATAAGTCTTTTTAGAGATTTCAACAAGTGACTACATACGGAGCAAAATGAATGAATCTAGACTCTAAAATATGTCTATATACATCCGTATGTGATAGACATTTAAAATCTCTAAAAAGACTTATATTTAAGAACGGAGGGAGTAAGTGATAGGCTTGGATGCCGAGACGGTAGCCCCGAGCACTCAAGAAGGTGGCCGTGCCACAGTGTCGCGTGGGCAGCGGCGGATGGCGTGGATGGCCTTCTGCGCCTAGATGTAGTTTTTTAGGGCTGTCTATGTGGGACGAGACTTGCCTGCTCCCCCAACGTGCTCCCATCCGTGCTTCCGCATACGTGGCATGATTTGATTGGAACAAAATAAGGCCCGGCCCCACCCCTTTAAAATCAGGGGGAAGATGATTAAATTAGAAGAAAAAAAAGGAGAAAAAGACAGCCGTAGGATGGAGTGGGAGCATGGATGGGAGCATGATGAGGGAACAGGCAAGCCGGATCCGTCTATGTGTAGTCATGGATCGTCGGCTGCGGCTCGGAGGTTGATCGGTGGCCTAGTCAGCAGTGATGTGGCAGCGGTGGTGGCGACATTATGTGATGCAGCGACAGTGCGGGGTGGTGCGGCTACGACCTGTGACGGCCACGAAGTTTACGTTGTGCCTCGGCACGTTGTAATCATGCATCGGCCTCTGCCAAAGCGGCTCTGGAGCACGCGCGTGAGTTGAACCTGCCGATGATGTTTGGCTCTCCGCGTTCTATGATAGTTTTGTCTTTGTAAGCATGGATTTGGGCGAATGTCCATGTTAGGGATATGCATGGAAGCAGCCTCCATGCATGTGTGCCATGGAACAGTTGATTTCAATTTCTGTTGATCAGGGTGTGTGTGTGCCCCTCCATGCAACATCGTGGGGTGATGGCAACAAACGGTGATTTTGCTTTGGTGGTGCTTTTTGAGCACCTGGTTTAAAACCAAGGTCTGACTTTTTGTGCTTGCACCTTGTAATGGTTGTGTTTATGCGTGGTATCCTTGTTTTTCTTTGTGGGGAGCATCTTATCATTGTTGAAGACATTTCCTCGGAGTCTACTAAGACGTGCTCTTCAAGGTGAAAACCTAAACTCTGGCCCTTAGAGGTGAGATTCGACGACACTGGCGCCTGCACATCGTTTCTTTCCTGAAGGCGCTGCTTTTGAAAAACCTTTTCGTACTTCTTGTGTTATATAAGACTGTAGATGTTGTTGTTGCTTATCTGTTCTAAGTTGTCAGCTGAGCCGAGTTTTTCCCCTTCCTCTTCATTTTTAATCTTTTTGATTGTGTGCATCTTTGATGTCTCGATTTGATGTTGATATTGTTGTTGGAATTTGATCTCAGGTAACAACCCGAGAGAAACCAGGAGGTTTTTTCACCCCACACCTTTCACGTAGGAGCCTTGATCGGAGGCCTCTAAACCAACAACTTTGGACCCGGTCCCCGGCCCCAACACTTGATATAAAAGAAAGAAAGAAAAGGATAGCACAGAAGAGAGGCTAATAGAAACCGTGGCTATCGACCAAACTGCCCGATCCTAAAGTTGTGCTAGGGGCTGGAAGACCGACATCTACCGGCGGCCACCAGGAAAGGAGTGCTGCCGGCATCCATGGGCTTCCTCTTCGACTGCGGCGCTGCTGCATCCCTGCTGCCATATACCTTGCTGCTGCTTTTCTCATCGGAAGGACTCCACATCTCTGGAGACTCATGGCAGCCTGCAAGGATTATCCAATAATGATTTCTGCAAGTCAAGATCAGTCCCAAATTTTTAGTATAAGAGGTGTTCTAATCTGGAGATCAAGATCCTATTATGTTAATACTAAAGGATGTTTCTAACAATGGTATCATGAGCAAGATTAATCTCTGTTTAGAACCCCGCATTAGGCGTAATTGGTGTATATGATTAAGTAACAGGCCTAGTTCTTACGGTTAAGTATCCAATAATGTTAATGTTAAGATCAAATGATCTTCTGTTTATGTCAATGAGCATGATTGCATGATTACGTCCCTACTGATTAATGTTTAAGATTAATGGCTGATGTTTAAAGTTTACTGTCCCACTGTTTAAGTTATTACCTATGATTAAGGGTTAATTGTTTTCAGACAAGGCCTAAAGTGCTATGGGTTAGTGCTAATTAGTTTTTTTCTCTTGTTCTTGGATTAATTAAGCCATGCTTCCGCATCATGTTGAGGTTTTGATTAGCATTGTTAACCTTGATTAAGAAATTAGAAGGAGGGGAATCAAATGTATAAGAGAACATATAACGACAAATCCCCAATATCTGAAAACACTGATAAGTAAATCCCCAATTCAGACGAACCCTAGGATTTTTCACCAAATCCGAAAGCAAAAATGCCCAAATGATGAAAGAAAACGAATGACTCGGGGCTCACTTAATGAGGACGCGACCGTGCTCTCCTTCGGGATCCCGACGGCGGCAAAGCCACCGTCCCTCGGGACGACGCACGGGAAGGAGCCGTCGTCGACACACTAATGGACGCGCGCCTTGCGAGGGTCGTGCCTCGCACGTTGTCGTCGACGAACTGGTGGACGGGCGCCTTGCGAGGGCCGCGCCTCGTACGTCGCCATCGCCTTCATGTTTTGCGCTGGCAGCTCTGCCGGCGAAATGCTCATCCAGTCAACCGCCCTGCTCGCCATGTGGGCGACGCTGGAGCCACGCTTGCCGAAAGAGCGCGCGGAACTCAGTCCATTGCACGCTTCACCGGCGAGGGCAGCTACCGCGCCGCCATGGCCGGCGAGCTTGGCCTGCCACCGGGGTCGCCTCTGCGTGGCCACTCCATTCATTTCGGGGGAGGAAAGGGGGCAAATGGAGCTAGGGTTTTGACGGGCGGCTGTTTTGTTCAAGCTACGGACGATCCCGATCGTCGGTTGAATCGAACGGCTGAGATCAGCCAACGACAGCTGCTGGGCCTTCGGGTGACTAACGGGCCGATTCTTTTCCTCGGATTGAGGCCCAGGTTGTCTTGACCCATCAGGATATTTTCCCTTTAAGTTTTTCATGATGGGCCGATTAAATAAAGGATAGCCGCGGGTTACTGGGCCAAAATTAAAGTTCTTCACGTCAGTTTCTTTTATTCAGTGCATTTTCTATATTATGGTTATTCTAATGATGTTTATGCAATGTTATAAATTAAAAATCACCAGAAATTCATGTTGTGGATTGTGATTTAATTTTCTTAGTAAAATGGAACAAACGAGAAGTTTTTCTTAGAAAATTAATGCACAATCGGTGTTGAAGTCATTTTATTAATGGCACCTTTTATGATGATCACCTTCCTGGTATTTTTTTCAATGATGAAATTAATGTGAATCACTCGTTGAGGTTTCTGAATATTTTATTTGGAATTTTTAGTGAAGTGTGAATTTCATGTTGATGCCACCCTTATGGCATTTCTTAATGATGTCACCAGTACTACCGGGCTGAGGCCACCACACGAAAAAAATGTTAATACTCGCTTCATGCGGTTTACCACGTTGCACTATGCGTCATCATAATGTTGGGGCAATATGCCTCTTGGGCAAAACTAAAGTTTATGATTGGTGCATTTTACGTCATTTTATTATGAAATGCACCACTGAAATAATTATAATGAATAAAAATGATGTTAATGAATTATAACCACAATTCCTTTGCAAAGAAATTTGTGTAGAGAATTATCCCAAAGTACATGTTGTCATTTGTTTGACACATGGTATATACCTAGTATTATTTGGTGAATCTTTATATAATTTTGTGTCCAGATTTTATTATTTGGAAAATGTTATGATATCCCGATGATAATATTACTGTCATTTTCATTGTGAATGTCAATTTTAATGTTTAGTCAGTGGCAATGACATTTATATGTTTATGTTAATTCTAATGCCATTTTCATTATATGTCTTGAGAATTTTATTGATAATGTTGACACTTATATTCAATGTTATTATCAGTGTCAATTTTAGTAATAAAAGGTATCATTGTGTATGATAGCAAGCATGGTTTTATGTTGTTGCTTTACGTTAATGTTAGCTAAAGTTCTTGCTCATAATTATGAGATTTGATGTCTCTCTAGTCAACATGGAACCAACGAGAAGTTTTGATTAGAGATTTAATAAAAAATGTTATAATGGCATTTGATGATATTCTGACCAACGTTGATTATTCTCATGTGTTATTTGTGACTAAGCATCTCTTTGATTCATCTCATTGCATGGTTAATTCATGCTTGATGTTTTGTTGTGATGCTCATAATGTTGTTTCCCTTATATATAGCAATGAACATTAATAATGATGCAAAATTCCATGTTGGCATAGGCAAACCTTATGCAAATAACTTTCTCGTATAGAGAGTGGAGATCATTGTCTCATGTAAGGAATCTCCGAACCCTTTTCTGCCACTAAGGTGTTGGAAATATGCCCTAGAGGCAATAATAAAATGGTTATTATTGTATTTCTTGTTCATTATAATTGTCTATTGTTCATGCTATAATTGTATTAACTGGAAACCGTAATACATGTGTGAATACATAGACCACAACATGTCCCTAGTGAGCCTCTAGTTGACTAGCTCGTTGATCAATAGATGGTTATGGTTTCCTGACCATGGACACTAGATGTCATTGATAACGGGATCACATCATTAGGAGAATGATGTGATGGACAAGACCCAATCCTAAGCATAGCACAAGATCGTGTAGTTCGTTTGCTAGAGCTTTTCTAATGTCAAGTATCATTTCCTTAGACCATGAGATTGTGCAACTCCCGGATACCGTAGGAGTGCTTTGGGTGTATAAAACGTCACAACGTAACTAGGTGACTATAAAGGTGCACTACAGGTATCTCCGAAAGTGTCTGTTGGGTTGGCACGAATCGAGACTGGGATTTGTCACTCTGTATGACGGAGAGGTATCTCTGGGCCCACTCGGTAATGCATCATCATAATGAGCTCAATGCGACTAAGCAGTTAGTCACGGGATCATGCGTTACCGAACGAGTAAAGTGACTTGCTGGTAACGAGATTGAACGAGGTATTGGGATACCGACGATCGAATCTCGGGCAAGTAACATACCGATTGACAAAGGGAATTGAATACGGGATTGATCGAATCCCCGACATCGTGGTTCATCCGATGAGATCATCGTGGAACATGTGGGAGCCAATATGGGTATCCAGATCCCGCTATTGGTTATTATTTCGAGAGGTGTCTCGGTCATGTCTGCATGGTTCTCAAACCCGTAGGGTCTACACACTTAAGGTTCGGCGACGCTAGAGTTGTTATGAGAAATAGTATGTGGTTACCGAAGGTAATTCGAAGTCCCGGATGAGATCCCGGACGTCACGAAGAGTTCCGGAATGGTTCGGCGGTGAAGATTGATATATTGGACGAAGGGTATTGGAGTCCGGAAGTGTTCTGGGGGTACCAGGCTATGGCCAGCATGACCGAAAGGTGTTTCGGAAGCCCCGGCAAGTGTTGGAGGGCCTCATGAGCCAAAGGGGAAGGGGAAAACCAGCCCACTAAGGGGTGGTGCGCCCCCCACACCCTTTACCACGTTACTTGGGGAGGTGGGGTGCCTCCACCTGGCTTGGGAGGCAAGCCTCCACCTGCTTGGCTTGGGGGGCAAGTCTCCCTAGGATTTTCCCTAGGGAAATCCAATCTGCTTGGCCGCCGCCCCCTAGGAGAAACCCTAGGGCGCCTCCCCCTCTCCCCTTGCCCCTATATATAGTGGAGGGGTGGGAGGGCAGCGACACCCCTTCCCTGGCGCAGCCCCTCCCTCCTCCAACTCTTCCTTCTTCTCCGTAGGGCTTGGCGAAGCCCTGCAGGAATACCACAAGCTCCACCACCGCGCCGTCGTGCTGCTGGAGTTCTCCCTCAACTTCTTCTCTCCCCTTGCTGGATCAAGAAGGAGGAGACGTCCCCGGGCTGTACGTGTGTTGAACGCGGAGGCGCCGTCCGTTCGGTGCTAGATCGGATCTTCCGCGATTTGAATCACCGCGAGTACGACTCCATCAACCGCATTCTTGTAACGCTTCCGCTTAGCGATTTTCAAGGGTATGAAGATGCACTCCCTCTCTCTCGTTGCTAGTATCTCCTAGATTGATCTTGGTGACACATAGCTAAATTTTGAATTATTGCTACGTTCCCCAACAGTGGCATCATGAGCTAGGTCTATGCGTAGATTCTATGCACGAGTAGAACACAAAGTAGTTGTGGGCGATGATTTGTTCAATTTGCTTGCCGTTACTAGTCTTATCTTGATTCGGCGGCATTGTGGGATGAAGCGGCCTGTACCGACCTTACACGTACACTTACGTGAGACAGGTTCCACCGACTGACATGCACTTGATGCATAAGGTGGCTAGCGGGTGTCTGTCTCTCCCACTTTAGTCAGATCAGATTCGATGAAGAGGGTCCTTATGAAGGGTAAATAGCAATTGGCATATCATCATTGTGGCTTTTGCGTAGGTAAGAAACGTTCTTGCTAGAAACCCATAGCAGCCAGGTAAAACATGCAACAACAATTAGAGGATGTCTAACTTGTTTTTGCAGGGTATGCTATGTGATGTGATATGGCCAAAAGGATGTGATGAATTATATATATGTGATGTATGAGATTGATCATGTTCTTGTAATAGGAATCACGACTTGCCTGTCGATGAGTATGACAACCGACAGGAGCCATAGGAGTTGTCTTAATTTATTGTATGACCTGCGTGTCAATGAAAAACGCATGTAATTACTTTACTTTATTACTAACCGTTAGCCATAGTAGTAGAAGTAATAGTTGGCGAGACAACTTCATGAAGACACGATGATGGAGATCATGGTGTCATGCCAGTGACGAAGGTGATCATGCCGTGCCTCGAAGATGGAGATCAAAAGGCGCAAGATGATATTGGCCATATCATGTCACTTTATGATTTGCATGTGATGTTTGTCATGTTTACATCTTATTTGCTTAGAACGACGGTAGCATAAATAAGATGATCCCTCGCAATAATTTCAAGAAAGTGTTCCCCCTAATTGTGCACCGTTGCGAAGGTTCGTTGTTTCGAAGCACCACGTGATGATCGGGTGTGATAGATTCTAACGTTCGCATACAACGGGTGTAAGCCAGATTTACACATGTGAAACACTTAGGTTGACTTGACGAGCCTAGCATGTACAGACATGGCCTCGGAACACGAGAGACCGAAAGGTCGAACATGAGTCGTATGGTAGATGCGATCAACATGAAGATGTTCACCGATGATGACTAGTCCGTCTCACGTGATGATCGGACACGGCCTAGTTGACTCGGATCATGTATCACTTAAATGACTAGAGGGATGTCTATCTAAGTGGGAGTTCATTAAATAATTTGATTAGATGAACTTAATTATCATGAACATAGTCAAAAGGTCTTTGCAAATTATGTCGTAGCTCATGCTTTGGTTCTACTGTTTTACATATGTTCCTAGAGAAAATTTAGTTGAAAGTTGATAGTAGCAATTATGCAGACTGGGTCCGTAAACTGAGGATTGTCCTCATTGCTACGCAGAAGGATTATGTCCTTAATGCACCACTCAGTGTGCTGAACCTCGAGCATCGGTTGTGGATGTTGCGAACATCTGACATACATGTTTTGATGACTACATGATAGTTCAGTGCGTAAT